CGCGTACGGCGCTTCTCTGTCTTGCGTTTCTCTCGCAAACGACTTTCTCGTTATACGCACACCCCTCTTATACGATACGGCTCGTCGTGTCGTTATCTCAACGAGAATTCCTCGTAGCACCATTTTCCAGCGTGCGTGCTAAGGGCGGCTAAAAATTGCCGTAATATAGCTGTTTGCCGCGCGCGTACGAGCTTTGAGATTTGATACTTTCTGAGAATCGCCACGGTGCTCTGTGCACGTGTTGCGAGTGTGTCGCGGAATGAAGGTAAACCTCTTCGGGAGTGAGGAATGTTAAAGTGACAAAAATCCTCAAGAATAGCAGTACGAAGAAATTTCATTTAAATGACGATGCAAGTGATGCGCAATAAACGTCTAACTTTGTTAATCAGAATGTATATGAAGAAACGTACGAATCTATTTTCTTTATTCCGAAAACATATTAACGTTCACTTATCATACACTATAATATCAAGTACTTGAATGTTTTTATTTTTTTAACATCAAAATACTCCAAAATGATATCAGAAAGCATTTGCATCCCGCACTTCGCGCACAAAGCTAAATGAAACATTTGGTTTTCAAAATATATATTTGTATTGTTCAATATTAAAATATATTATTTTATGCATGGTTAAAAATCTAAAATTAAAATTTCAAGAGGCAAAAATATGTAATCTGATATATGTAAATTTTATTTTACGATAAGAGAAGGTTGCGTATATCGAGAGTCGAGTGTCTCACGTAGTAAAATAAACTACCATTCCTTGCTATATACATATTGTACGAGAGAACGCAAGAGCTAATATTAAACATAAAAGAATATGAGAAATGTGAACACAAAGAAATCTCGCCTTTCTCGTAAATGTTCTAATGAAGCAAGAGTTTCTAATAAGTTATTAGCGTGTATGTTAATAAAGAAACTCTTGTGTATTGTTGTGTAAACGATGCGAGGTATCAATCGAGCATCGAATTTACACTTGACTTAAATACATATTCATGTTAGCATCGCTTTAAACTCTTTTAGCTCTCTTTTAACGCAGAATACCATCATAATATTTTAACTATTTTAACTCGTTACGAAACGAAAGATCGTCGTTAAATGTTGCACACCTAACAATTCATAAAACAATATATTTATTGTATCACAAAAATGCCAAAATCATATAAAAATAATACTTAAATTCTATATATTTAGAAAAATGTTTAATTTCTTAGTTTAATTTCTTAGTTAAATAAATAATCTAATTGTTGATTATAATATATTATTTTAATAAAGTTTTATCCTTCACTAAAAGAGTTAGTCACGATTGCACGCGTAATCGATTGCACATATGCAGTAACATAAATATGCATTGCAAGTGGTAGAGAATACTGACATCATCGCTGGGAATCGATCAGGGCGCAACGGCCGACTGCGAAAGCGGGCTAATAAGAGTGGCGGCGGGTCACAACGATTACAAATGTTAAATGTCAATGACCGTGAGAGACAAAACCCCGGCGCTTAATTTTGTCCCGACGTCGCGTCGTGTCCTTAACTGTAAACGGATGGAGAAGAACCCGACGAAGACGATGTTGAAGAAGGTATCGGCGGACAAGAAACGAACGCTCGTATAATCCGCGTTTCCGACGTTCTGTACCGGTACCATTACCATTACCATTCCAGGATATGCCCTCTCTTCCCCCTCCCCGCATTCTTCTCCTCTGCAGCAACTGGTAAACCATATTTCAGAGTCGGCCAACTAAATCAACAATCGGTCGTCTGCCGGCTGTGTGTATGTGTGTGTGTGCCACTTTTTCCTACTCGTGTCTCTGTCTTTCTTTCATTTTGAGAAGAAGAAAAAAATCAGTTGTGAAGCAATATAATTCGGTAACGCTGCACTTCGTAATAAATGTTGGCTAAAGAATGTAGAACAAAAAGAAAAACTATGCTGCTAATATTAATATGTATATTTAGTCGTAAGACTTGTATTTATTTGTAAAAATGATTTATAATTGTTATAAATATCATGTCTGAGATTGGAAATATTTATATAATATCAATATATTGCAGCCAATACAAATTATTAAAATAAAAGATTTTTCTTCGAAACTTTTTTCGGAACGTTTGAGACAATTTTTAATTAGTCGTCGAAGATTCAAGATAAACTTCTTGTCTAACTTTCTCTGTCGCAAATGTTAAAGCAAAATGGAAAAGTAGAAATTGTTCATGTAATTACGAAGACTATAACAGAATTACAGCGAGAAAAGAAATAATGTATCGATATTTCTTAGCAGTCACAGTACAGGAGAAGCTCTTTTCACGAAGTATATCGTATTTAAAAGATCTTCAAGTTTTATAATGCCCGACGAAAGAAAGGAATCGTTTGGTGAAACGCGCACCATAAAAGTAAGTCGATTATACCAATAAAGTAGTATAAGCAGTCGTATCAATTACTGCGGCTTTTTTGTCGTGCTGACGTCGTAATTGCGCATCCAAAACTTTATTTTAACAATCCACTCGTTTGCAAAAACTTTTAACATTAAATTTTTTAATGAAATTAAAAGTGAAACGTATAATCATACATGTTAAACTTACTTGAACATTACATTCTTAAAATTTAATTTTCAGAATTTTTAATTCTGAGTTTAACGTTTTATAATTTATATCTCTACAACAATTTTTTTTCTACATATATGTTTTTATACTTAATTTAAATTTTTTAAATGTTCTAACTGTAAAATTGAAAAGTAATAAATTGCATACACAATTTGTATAAAATTTGAATATTTTTATCATTTTGATAAAGAAAAAATAATTTTATATATTATCATTTTTATCGTTTATTAGTAAAAATTCAAATTGCAAAAAGTGTCATTGTTAAAATAATTATATAATAATTATTCGTTGCATGAATGACAAGCAGCGAATGATATCAGTATTTTGTATGTGATTATGTAAATATAATAAAAAGAATATTACTCACTCAGTCGTTGTACCCTAGTTAAGTACGTTTTCAGCTACACCTGGAAAAATTAATATGTATTTTAATTATTATAAATGGGAATCATGCATTTTACACATAATAATTGTTATGTCATGCACATTAATTGTTATTGTTATTAGTTATTTTCATTTTGTTTAAAATAATATATGCAATAATTTACATAAATAAGTATTTAAATATTTTAATAATAATTTGATAAAGGCTGTCAAATATTCTAATAAATATTTAATAAAAATATTGCAATTGTGTATATGAGTTATCAAAATTATGCAAATATCTAAATTATAAATAAATTATTGCACTCACCCACTAGGGTATTGTAGTTTGCTTCATCTTTGGTAGGTTCCATTTTAGACTACTCTGTATCAGCTCCATGATCAAAAAACTTAATTAATTACGTTGACTGTCGGACAAAAGTTAACCCGCACTTTTCACTTTTAAAAAAATACGAAAATCATGGATTCACGTCGCGAATTTGCCACGCCACGGTACACAAAACGCGAAGTAAAACGAAAACTGCAACGCAATCGCGTACATAATTGTTTACAACTTCGGCAGTCCACCCGCCGTTATGCACACATTTCGAGCCAACATATAACGACCTTGGAGATTACGCGGCGGTCGTTACATACAGAACACACACAACACAACTGTATTTTTCTCCGATGCCATTCCGATGAACTGAAAAACACATCGCACGTCTATTATGCTTCGATTCTTTCAAGTTATAAGAATTATTTTCGCATGTCCATTATTGGTGATTGATATCTATACTCACTGAAATTGTACCAGTACCTACTTCAGCCCATTGCGCAAAGCTACATTCGTAGTATTTAGCGATCGACGAAACGCAATTACTTGCACACACTCACCATATATAATACGTACCGGCAATCACCCGTCACTTTACTCGATACTTCCAACAAAAATTTACACAATAATGCACTATTAACGGAAAAAATACGCAATTATCACGAAGCGTTCGTGCTTTGCACTCCAAACTGATAGAAGGAAAAATCGTCATGGCGGCCACAAAAATAGGCAATTTGCGCGGGTAACTATAAACATTTCGATATTGAGATATTTCAAATTACGAGCGCAGCTAAAATATCGCTACAGGAACTAGATACTGTTTTACACATTATATTCATATTTCAGCTTGATGCGCGCATTTTATTTCGAATAATTGTAATATACAGATCGTACTTGATAATCAAATAACGATGAGCAATCTTTTTAGGATTATGTAGCACCATCTAACGAGAATGCAAGTCATTAATAAGTGCATAACGCAAAGTTAAATCAGAAAATGATGATATCGACGAAAGATATTAGATTTGCAGTCGGTAAATTTGTTTGCTTATTAATTTTATGATTTGTAATAATCCCGATAGCTTTCTCATAGATAACCTATTATACAATATTTTTTATTCTCATCATTTTTCTCCTCTTACCTTCTACACTTGTTTCGATTTGTTTTTTATTTTAATTGCATTATTTGCCGATACGGCATTAATGCATGATGAATTTTTTAAATCATACAGACTTCCGCAAGAGACTTTTAATTATCACGGCGGTGACAATTACAAACATTCGTTCCAAATATAGTATTGAAAACACAGACGGACTGAGTCATCTTTGCTTATCTATTATCGCCAAAACCTCGATAACATCATCGCATATATTTATATGAGCGCGAAATTCTTATCGCTGTCTCGATATTTTAAGGTGAATTTCGGTGAATTGAAATTTTTTCTTCTATCGCGTTGCGAAACGTCACTTTCGCCGAACGTCAAAATCCGTGAATCATTCGTAGCTAGCGCAACGCGCTCATGAATACGGCGTCTGCTCGTCACGCGGTGTCGAACATGTGACCCGTTTAAAGTTTCACCGTGCGTGCAATTACCGTGCGAACCATTCCATTGCAGTTCTTACGTGCAGTTCAGTTCGGGCCTCCCACTACGTGATTACCTACGAGGCCGCGCGCGACCTACGACGCTAGGTTATGTCGCTGTGTTTATGTTTGCTGTAATACGCGAATAGATTGACATCCGCGCTCGTCTCGCACGCACGGTCCGTTATCGGCGGACTTGAAGCGCCTGAGCGAAATATGAGAAGGATATACATCAAGACATCGACTGTGACATTAGCAAGAAAAGCTGCATCCGAGCAACTGCGTCGCGTCCGCGAGTTAATTCGATAACGGCCCAAGGTTCGCACCTTCCGTATTCGTAATTCGTCCTTTTTCTCTCTTTCTCTTTCTGTCTTTTTCTTCTTCCCTTGCATCTAGCATCTCATATTTGGCCGATGCAAGACTCCTACGCAGATATTTATGCGCAGACGATGATCGAATAAGAGCGAAAGTCGCGTTTTTCGTGTTTGGGAAGGTGTGCCTCTCTGGTATGCGTCGCGATCAATTTCACGTGTGACGCTTTTTTCGTCAAAAGTGGTGCCACTGCGAAACCTTGTCCTATTTCTGTAGATTCACGTATATATACGTATATTGTGTGTATGAGTGTGTATATATATTATATATATATGTATATCTATAGCGGCGCACGATTACTCGGCTGACATTCGCGCGTAATCGCGCGCCCGGTTACGAATCTCTATTGTGACCTTGTTAAATGTGCGTTTTGTCACCGCATCACTCGACTGCATAGTTTGTTTACAGCTTCGAATAGTTGTAGAGAAATCTATTTAAATCTATAAATCTACCAATTTTTAAAAATAAATGTTACAGATACGATCTAATCTATATTGATGAATCAGAATTGCAAAGATAATGCAAATATAAAAATTGAATTGTTCGGATATTTCTTTTTTTTAATTATGAAAATACTGGAGTAATGAAAACTATGTTGTTTTGATCAATTTTTGAGAATAATTTAAAGCAACTATTACATCATGGAATTATCCGGTTGCTTTTTAATTAATCGAATGACTCATAAGACTAATTTATATTCTACTTGCCATAACATCAACATTTGAATTAATTATTTTCGTATATGATGGATTGTATGCTTGATATATTGAAGTTTTTCAATACATTGAAGGCTGATGACTCATTTGTAACATAAACTGTTTTTGTTACTCATTTACAGGATACAGCTGTGTTATGAGTGTTGGTTTATCCATGTACGATGGCTTGGAGAACGAGAGCACTCCTGATAATAGTCTGGAGAACACTGGGGGTGCTACAAAAAAGCTGGCTAGGGGTATCTCCCGTGCAACTGAAAATGCAGCAATTGTTTCCTATGCTCGCTCCCAGTTGGCAGCCTTAGGGGCTCTTGATACACCTGAATATACATTTTCATTGCCAGACTTATCTGTGTATCCGGGTATTTTATTTATGCTTAAAAAAATGTCACATTGTTCTTATCTTAAATGCCTGCTAATCAATTGACATTTCACATTTAGATTCATTTCGTAAATTCTTGGAGAAGGATCTTATAGAGAATGGATGTTTGAGTTCCTTGGAGGCTGCGGGTCGTTTAAATTGGTGGTACAAAAGTGGCAGCACTCGAGTTCTTTGGCCACTGGCAACATCTGGAGATGGCAATTGTCTGCTTCACGCTGCATCATTGGGGATGTGGGGTTTTCATGATAGACTACTTACGCTAAGAGAGGCATTGCATAATACTTTGACCAAGGGGGAATACAGACATGCTCTTTTTAGGTATAAAATGAGAAATATTTATTTTAGAAACAATGTATTTAGCAATACTTAAAGCAATACTAAATGATTTTCAGGCGATGGAAATGGAGACAGACAGGTTTGAACGCAGCCGCAGGACTGTCATATACGGAAGCAGAATGGTTATCAGAATGGCAAAGTATAGTAGATATGGCCTCTCCTGCGATCAGAAACCAGACTGCTACCTCTTATCAGAGCCTTGAAGAGGTATCGTAATTCATCATTCAATCATTCTTTTTGTCGAGTAGAAGCAATTTTATTTTAAAGACTAACGATCTGTTTTTATTTCAGATACACGTTTTAACTTTGGCTCATGCTTTAAGAAGGCCTATAATAGTTATAGCAGAGACCATGCTGAAAGATGCCGAGGGAGTAGCCTTAGCGCCAATTCCGTTTGGTGGAGTATATTTACCCTTGGAAGTGCCACCTTCGCGTTGCGAAAGAACTCCCTTATTCCTGGCATATCATTCTGCTCACTTCTCCCCGCTTGTAACGGTAGATGGATGCAATGATTATGGTAGTGCTTGCGGCGAAGGAGTTAGTATACCACTAGTGGATCCAGACACAGGAAAATTGTTGCCGGTTTTATTCGCCGTGGATCCTGGTCCTGAGTGGGATTGGGTGGACGGTTCGCGAGAATTGTTAACGTGTACGCAGGACACTGTACGTAAATCATTACTTATTGATTAATACAGTGTAGTGTTAAATTATTACAGTAAAATAATTGAGATTTTTTTTATCATTTACATGCAGATGGAGATTTTATTGCGAGAGTATTTAGATTGCGAGTATCAAAGTTTTACATCCGAAGATATTGATAGGCTTTCGGATGCGGATGGTTCCTTGTCGAAGACAGCGAAGCAATTGCTAGAAGTCGCGAAACAATTCGGATCCCTTGGCAGATCTGTCAGTAAAAAACTATGGCCTATGACGAATAAGAGGCCAAAAAGTCCGCCTTCGTCGAGCGGCGGAATTTCCACAGAAGGATTGTTATGTGTGAGAATAAAGAGCAGACGTCATCAATATGTGGATCAAATGCTTCAGAATTATCTTCAATGTGCCCATGCAAGGTATTCTGATTATGTGATCTCAGCTATTCGTTTCTTCAGAGACAAGTTACAGAGATGTTGTATGTTGTAGATATCTGCAGGATCATCAAGTAGATGATACAGGTAGTGAATTGAATTATGGCGCTGGAAGATCAAAATTTTACGCTGCCAGTGATTGCAATAGTCATGCGAGTGTTAGCAAATTATTACCTACAAATACAAAGAAAGATGATACGCTTTATCTTGCAAGGTACGATTGCGAAACACAAATTTTTTTCAATTCGTTGAGATTCGATTAATAAATCAATATTGTTTTACAGGTCTACGTTTTATAAAGATCAAACTCCATCAAATACTACAGAATCAGAAGTTTGGAATAACAGTGACAATTTGAAGGTATGTCGAGCAATACATGAAAAAGAATAAATTTTCCTAAAATTGCCGTTTACAGGACGTCGTGAAAAAGTGCCGCAGTGAACACTGCCAATTCTTTGGATCGCCAGAAAACCAATACTATTGCTCGCAATGTTGGGCCAATCGACGTTATCATTAAGCAACCGTCCTCAATCACACATGACAATAATCTCATTTTAATATCGCTCGAGTTAAGCTATTAAATAATTAATAGACATAACGCTAGTTGTAAGATAAAGCTTATCCTACCAACATATCGTCGATAACATTGTATCGTTGTTTCTAATTTTGTTTTTTCTTTCATGTTTTATTGTATTTATTAACATATTCCATCTAAAAAGTTGCATATCAAATGCACAGGGTTCGCTTAAACGGTATGAACATTTACTACGACGTGTTCAGATTTTATCGTTCCAAAAAGCAAGAAAAATTGTTAATTTTTTTTCAGTACTCAGGGAACGAGAATATATTTTTTTCTTTTTTGAACAATTTCAATGTTGTGCCTTCCTGTATGCGCGGAACAATAATACTCTCCCTTGTATTCTAATGAAAATCTCTACTCACAACTACCTCCAATTTTCTCGATTATAGAGCTCGATTTAGTGTAATTACTAACAGTGTAATTCTCAATGTAATTCTCATTGTAAAGAGATATCTTATAAGAAATGAAAATGTTATGTTCATAATCTCATTGTCTTGTGCAACCGCTCTGTGCATATAAAATTGTGTGAAGAATAAACCATATTTTTATATATGCCAAGAGTTGTCATTTTTCTCCGCATAAATTATATAAGTAGCGTAAGAAAATACACAAGGCCAATATATTTTTTTGCCATAATAAAATGTATTTACACACATTTCCTCGCATTAGTCTATCATCATGTGAAAAAGGTCATAATTAATAGTAAATGATTAATATTACCTGTCACATTACCTATTCATTAAATTATCGACAAAGCATGTGTGGTAGTATTACGCTAATTTTATTAATATAATTGTACGAAGAATCTTTTTGTTGGTATGTACAAAAAAAGGAGGAAAGAATTATCCGATATACAAATTATTACCTTCAGCACTTTTTCTAATATTAAATAGCTAAGAAAAACGTTAAATGAGAAGCGGTTTTACAATATATCGAAGGAACTAGGAAATATTCATTTTAGTTACGGTATTACTACGTATAAGCACAGAGTATATGTTTATAGACGCTATTAGAATTTAAACATCCTTTTGCCTTTATTTTATCAGTTAAACACTTTCAACATCCCTTCTTGGTCTTTCGATGAAATAACTAATAAAGAAATGAATAAGAGAGTACCACTTATATATTTCGTGTCTTTAAAATTGAGTTTCATGTACTATTTACAATTTCAGTCATACGAGCGCAGATACACTACCACAGAGTCGATTAGCTGTATTCGATATATCTTTCACGTAAGTAGTAAGCATTACATTTAACCAAGTTCATTTGGAAAGTTTTATTCTTTCGTGAAAGATGATATTTAATACGAAGAGATCTTAAAAAAAAGAAAAATATTAAGCTAAAGTAACTTTGTAGCTGTAGCATTATGCGCGTATAAGTCGCAAGTTATTCTTCCCGAAATGTATTTAATGTTGTTAAAAGTCAAAATAAAAATATTTGTAGCAAAAGTTATTTGTTTTTTTAAAAGCTATGATTAGGTTTGCATTAAAGATCCGCAAAGAAGTGATAACATAATAACATAGTTATTAATTTTGTAAAACAATACGGCAAAATATCAGTACGATTACATCGATACACGATATATGCACGTGCATGTACAAATAATTATAATCATAATGGTAATAATATGGATTCTAGTATACATGTGATGAGAAATTTATTATTAATAACTTTTTTAACAGGTCTTCGTCGGCAGCTTTTTTTTTCTCTTACTTCTACATTGAATTCTTTCCCTGATGGGTTTTTGTGGTGTTATAACACAATTATTCAAAATAACGTAAATTTTTATTATTTAATGTAAATTTTATACGTAGGTATTACGCTTAGGATCAATTGATGTACCCACTTATAGCTTTGAACATGACGTGAAATTAGTCCAATGTAAAGTCGATCGTGTACTTACAGTACTTATATATGATCATCTTTATCGAACGTTTATCATTTCAAGGTAAATCAATTGGTCCGTTTCTATTTGAAAGGAAGTGCCAGCCACAACACAACAAGCACAGTGCTCCTATCGAAGTACTTTATATCCATACCATAGTATATTGCTTAAGTTAAAGAGCTTGTAAACACGGAATTCTCCATTAATCCTCCATAATTTTGTACAAAAACCGGTAACAAAATATCAAAATTCTAAAATTTTTTAATTAACCCTCGCATAGTCAAAACTGGATCATTTTTTACTTGTACCTTTTGTACTTATTTTGTCAATGTTTCATAACCTTTATAAATTTTTAATACCGCATAACTTTTCAATAATTAATGCGTCTTGAACATACAATATAAATAATAAATAAACATTCATATGTACGTATATATTTTATTTTTTATTGATATATTTATAATTTTTCTAAAAAATATTCCAACAAAAATATAAAAATTAATAAAATACAACATAAAAAATTGTTTGTGGACCACAAATTTATAATTCAGCTCTAGCTGATATATATAACAAATGCGTAAACAGTGCGAGGGTTAAACAACATTGTTATCCATAAATTATCGTTAAATAAACAACCTTATCGTATCCCGCATGACATCTTGAGATTGCTTGCAGACAATCCATATCTCACACTTTTATATTTTTATAGAAATAAAAACTGCAACAAAATTGACTTGTTTAGTAGACACGTGTAACAATTAACGATAGTTTGAGAGACGTACGTATCACTCATTTTCTATTGACTCTCTGGCAAAAAAACTTCAAAAAACTTGAATTTTGATGTTGCGTTTTGGTGTTCCAGAGAGAAAAATGGAGAGAGATCGAACGGTTTAGAAGCTCGTTAATTTATCAATCTATACAGAACTGATGTATAATAGTTAGCGGTTCGGCTTTTTGTTGTTATTTATTGTTTAAGAAATGGATCACGATTCTCCATTGCCACTATCGTCGCCGTCTTCATAATCGGTCGCACTCAATTGCTCGTCTTCATCGTCGTCCAACTCGTACTCATCATCATAGAAGTCTGTCATATCCAGCTGCTGTTCGGCCGGCCTCGCACGAGTTTTTATGCAATAATCCTCCAGGGTAACCGGCACGACGATACCTTCCTTTTCGGCTTCCACCTTGGCAGCTTGGGCTTGTTTCCTAAATAGAAATCATGTATGAAATACACATTGACAAAATACCTACCTCGCTGATTGTAGTCAATTGTTCGCGATGTTTGCTCATCGAATAGACATTACAAAAGATACAAATTAAACTTAACGAGCACGTGGAATATATATATAATCATTTGTTCTTCGAGAACACCAATCATCGAATTTCAGGAAAAAAGAAGACTACTTAACTTCAGCACTTTGGCCCGATTTATTGAGCAACGAAAATTGTGTTCTGCGAATAGCACTGCTCTTGGTGCCGTTCTTATCTTGTATTATAGTTAAGACAGGCAATAATTTTCCTAAGTAGACTCATTCTAAGGCTCATTCAAGTGTTAAAACGTGTACATCTACGTTACCGGTATTCTCGTTTCCGCATTCAGTTATCTGTCTCACGCTGTTGGCATAGCTTTTAGCACGCTACGGATACGGCATATAGCTCGGTGGTATAATTTTGACGAAAACGCGCAAGTTCTCTGCAACTGCGTGACGTCACGCAACGGCATTATTGACAATGTCTTACCTTATGATATTTTCATATTCTTTGTCTCTCCCTTTGGAGTCGCGCCAGCGTCTGTACATTACCGATGCGTCGACATTGGCAGGACTATATGTGTTGGGTTCGTTCAGCAACGAGATCACCGATAGCAGGATGGTCCTGATAAAAAGAAAAAAAGAGATAATTAATCATTCTGAGCTTCAGTTTTCGAGAACTATCTTGATTTTCAATTGAATTCACAGATAGCCATTATTCTCATTTACTTATTTTTTGCAAAATTGCACCCACCTAACATTTTGCGTCGGATTCCACCTTTCACAAGGCAACTCGCCACTTTGGGGGTCGTCTACAGGTGGATGCAGAATTGATATGCACAGGTCACCGTTCTGCGCAAAGAAATGCAACCTTTCAGACCACTGATAACCTCATTGTTGGCGCTTACTACTTCTTCGACGCGACTGAATGTCAGCCTTTGTTTTGTTGTCGAAATTCACGCGTGTTATTTTCGGAAGTTTTATTCAACGCATCGTACGTTTATGTTTACTTGCACTTCAGCAGGCCTGGCTGAATACATACGTTCAATATAACATTCATGTATAATGTTAATTTTTTATTCCTAATTTAAATATATTAAGCGTATGATACGTTGTTTTCGCTCAGGAATATCAATGGACATTAGAGCCACACAAATTTACATTGTGTGCGAAGTTCACGACTCCGTTTTCCTTTCGCCAACGTTGAAGCATGACGACCTCGGGGACTTCTGGTTCCGTGTTTGCCGTCCCTGCGAAAACATCGCTCGAAGGACGGGACCTTCGGGTACCTTTTCGGTTAAACGCAAAGAAAAATTCCCGAGGACGTCGCGATTCGTATGCTCGGCGCGATATTCGGAGATGAGAGATGCGAGATGTCTGAAAGATGAACTCTGAAGTTGAGATTATATACGCTACCAATATCTCACGAGGAATTGGAACACAAGAAATATCGTTTCAACGAGGCGAGCATATACAAGCGTGTAAAAAAAAGGAAAGAGAGAAAAATAAATCTTGCGCAACTCCATAACGTATGCAAGGCTCATAAAAATCGCAGACGATTCGCTGCGCACGTTTCCAGCGAAGACCGCTTCTATCTCTCGCCTCTCCTGCGCGGCGACGTTCGGCAAGTAGGACAAGGCGCATCGCGGTTTCACCGTGGCTCGACTTCGAACACTTCATGTAATAAGCCACGAAGGCGAAGGCGAGTTCCTCGAGTAAACGCCCGGCACTTGACACGATCGCTCCCCGGCAGCGATAGCGTTGCCGTGTCCGCCGCGCACGCATTCGCACGGAAGGGCGGCGAATGCCGACGTATGGAATCGCACGAGATGCAACCGAGATGTGACCGGAATTCCACATGCATGCGGAGAGAAGAAGTATTTACAGTTTACTTCCAAAATTATCTTCATTTTATACTGCCGTCTTCTTTTGCGCAAGAAAATGTGAAAGCGTGGCAAAAGAAGATAAAATCGATTTTGAATCGCTCAACTAATGCGCAGCGTTTGACGGCTTTGTATAAAATAATTCTATATATAGACTGTATATATAAAGTTAAATTGAGCAATGCTTTTTTTTATTCTTTGTCTGCTGCATGTGAAGTTCGTACTATCTAATCCACATCGCCGACGATTGTTCACGTGTACGCGCGCAAACCCGAGGAGGAGAATCTTCGCGTAATGTGCAGAGTACACATACGTATAAATAATATGAATTTCACGATGGGGAAAGTTGGCCTGCGAGAAGAGCGAAACGTGCGCGCGTTAAGCCGCGCGGTATATATCGAGTAACCTTTCTGTTTCGATTGCGAAAGACGTCTTCATATTGGAGCAGGTACCGTTTCCTGGAAGGTTTGCGCAACGCGCAGATTGTCATCGGAACCAAGTTTCATACGGCTGCGGAAAAAGCGAGATCGCCGTTTCTCCGCGTATGATTAATTTCCTATTGTAATCAAGAGTTATTTACTCTCGTATAATCTGACTCGCTAAGCGTAAACATCGCTATATTTTCACTCGCCGCAGTTAGCGCTGAACCGCGGCTCTGTTGCGATTTCACTTGATGTAAAAAAAAAATAGACGCGATATACGAGAGGATTCAATAAATTCGACTAAATGTCTTGAAGCTAAATGTACTGAAGTATGAATGAAACAGCCACTTAGCGTTAGATATACAACGGAAATGAGAAGTAACGTCACTTGCTTGCAATGCATAATAATTGCGGTTACGTAAGGATAAGCTGTTCAAGGCTTATCAATCGATTACTAAACAGGTCAACTGTTTTGGACACCCGAGCGAAGATAGATAGATGATACCAATGTAATCTACATGAAATATACAAATAAAATAATTCGTACGTCGTGTCTAGCGATGTGAGTTCCGCATAAAATTTGCATTTAATAATTCAACATCTTTCACTCCAAACGTATCCCGCAAATATTTGATTTTGCATTTACAAGCGAGATATTAATTGCTTTCGTTTACTGTTAATTTTGCATTGTGCACCACAAGTACGGCCTTGTCGTCCACAACCAGGTGTTGGTGAGAGAACAACTGTATTTACCAACTTTAATATCCTCTCTTCGACAGTTGAGAGCGTGAAAAAAAAAAGTGTTCGCATTTGTTTCGTTACTCATAACACGTTCCCGTCGTTGCCATCCCTATCGACGATGGGCGAGTGGACACGGATGTCCACACGGGCTTTCGACGGTCATTGACTTCGCTTCGCTAGCCGCCGAAGGGTCATATACGACGGACAGCGAGCAGGAGATGCGACGGCCGAGGTCGATAAGCGTGTGGGAATGCAATATTTTTGCAAACGCAAGTGGTACTGCCGGTAATACGTAAGAAAAACGCAGAAATATATTATCGATCGGCGATCCTTCCGTTCTCGAAACGCAACTCGTTCGGTTCGCCAGATGCTTTACGCGTCGCGATGTTTAACCATTTCCGATTCTACTTATATTTCTTGGCTGTGTTAACAAGTTAGCATACTGTCACATGACGTTTCAGGCATAAATTCTACGAAAACCACCTTTATTTTAATATTTTATTTAAATTAATTTTTTTTATCTTGCAGTGCAAAGGTGTGAATAATGAATGAATGAATAATGAAAAGGGATTTAAATATTGCGGTGTAGAAAGTATTCCCGCAGTGGCAAACAGGAAACAGTCGTCGTGCTTTCGGTCTTTTAAAGTGGCGAACAACGCGACGAATCAGTCCTCGTAAAAACATCAGCAGTGCGCCAGCAGCTTGCCTCGTCGATAGAACTCGGTTCACGCTAATTGCCGGGCGAATTCGCATGCCGAGCGGATGTGGCGAAAGAACTGGGGAATCGCCGAGTCTCGCAAATGTCGAACGTAGCGATCCGCGATAAATATAATACGACCGCCGGACGTTCCAAGAACGCGGTGGCGGTGATACGTCAATATAAATGCAACCTCGAGCGAGAAACTACTACGCAACGCGCAATTTTTCGAGTCGATCGTTTTTACTTTCTTTTTTTTTCCCTCCCTTCGCGCTCGCCCGCCGATGCGTTTCGATGGAAGTGACTGGGGTTTGGACGACCCGGGTGGTTTCACAAACGCGCTGAAAGTGACGATGTAAAAGCTGATGGTTGTAAAAGCTATGGCGGCGGAGGGTGGAAGATAAAGAGAGACGGACGGATGGATGGACGGACGGAGCGGGACGGGACGGTCGTTATACGGCGAGCAGTGGTGAAAGCGGGGTGAGAGCGGGACGGATGAACGGAAAAGGGACGCAAGGGAGACGGGAAGGACACGTACGTACACACGTGTATAAAAGGAAAGGGTCGAAACGGGGAGCGAAAGAGAGAGAGAGAGAGAGCGACCGAGCGAGAGCATGCGGGGGGGGATCGATAATTCCTGTATATTCACTCACCTCATATACATTCGGGTGCCAAACTTTTGTCATGAAACGAATACTCGGTGGACTGTACGGATAATCCGGCGGGAACTTCATGTGTGCCTGCAACATAACGAAACAAACTCCGTCAATATACGCTTCCCGACATTCAAACGGTCGAGACGCCTACGCACCGTCTACGCGAATACACATCTTCGCTCACCTAGCGCTGAGGATTGAAACCGTTATAATTTCGGCGAGTTCAATATCCGCCACGAGCGTGCAGAAAAAAAAAACCGTAGCTTGCTTTAGACGTCGCGAATGAGCGTGGAAAACGCATTACCGCGCATCCATAGCATCAAATTCGAAACTCGCTGAAACTGTGATGTTTTCAATATCTGTCCAACATCACATTTCAAAAAACTGATGTAAGCTTCTTCGTGGAATTTATATTTTATATAATCTCTAGGAAAAACTTTTTATAAAAATTATATTAAAAAATTTTTTTTATTCAAAACGTGTCTGTAACATTTTAGACACGTTCTGAACAACAAGAGAACATGTTTAAAATAACATTTTAAATATGTAATATACAATGTAGAGATATCTTATGTTATATTGATAAATATTTAAATATTTAAATCCTATTAATCTTTCAAATAGACTTTCAAACATTAGTGACAACGACACAAAGTTGAGGAAAATTTATTCCAAGATTTAATTTATTCCAAGATGACAAATTGTGACGAATAATAACTTTCTTTTTATATTTTTCTGTAAAAAGATTCAGATCGACATTCGGATTAATGAAAAAATGAGTCGTATTAATATGATAACAGCGGGTTACTACCTATATATAGTCTGTAAATGAAGACAAGATCGGATTCTCCGATGCTGCAAAAGTGGAACAACATGGCTGTCTAGAATATAGTCAAGATAACAAGATGTAAAATCGGAGCGCGGGCACGATATCGAGATTCGACATTTCGATCGGATTCAGGACCTCCGACGGGGTTGCGACAATATCGATTTCCATTCCAAAGCGCGAAAGGGGCGTCTGGTTGTTCGATGCAGGCTTCACCGTTGGGACGCTATATTGATCGCGACCTGGTCATGGCCCAAATATCCACCTCGTCCTCCGGGATAACCGCGTTCTAGAATTAACCTACTTTCGACTGACTACACGCTTACAGTGTCACGAAAATTCTACTCGGAATAGTTCGCGTTGATCCACGTGTATTCGTAAATTGACACGTTACTGCCGCCAACAATTTTTTGTTACAGCTAAATTTTCCTGAATTTACTAAAATTTATATTTCAACAAAGTGGAGTTGATAGCTCGTAGTTTTGAAAAAATTGTTGTATTTAACTCGCGCAACGCTAGCTTGACGATTATTAATATAGCTCTCACTACATCTTTTCATGAAAACCCAAGATTTCAAACTTTTATTTATTTATATTTTATTATTTTCCTCCGGAGAAAATAATACAAGCACACACACACACACGTCGAGTTTGTCCAATATAATACTGCAATATCGATCCTGATTATCAATGTGCGATCTTGCATGACATTACCAGGAAATATTCCAAGAATTATCTATATTTGACCTAAATAGAACTTCTATTTTTATAGCGGCGTTCTATGGAGTTTTCATGGCAACACGTACATTCATTATAAAAGTCGCTTTTTCACAAGAGAGATCGTGATTTGCAAAGATTTTTACATTTGCTCCAGCATGAAACTATCACCTCGTCGCAACTTCACCGTGTGACCTACAAATTTTCGCGACCTACTTTGACAATAAGCACCGCTGGTCATCGTAACGCGACGTTGTGTAACAAGCTGCGTTACGACTTTTAAAACTGTCGAATCGAATCATTCCTCGGCGACAGAGATCAATGCGACTGAACATTTGCACAAATATCACTGTCATCCGTCCGATTTGAAACACATTTTTAACTCAGGAACAAAATTAGAAGACGCATTTTAATGAAAATATGACGATTAAATATTTGATGAAGATAAATCAATGATTCAATCTTTCGTTTAAAAATCTGATCTATCAGTTTGCACGTCCGTCAGTCTTGTATATTTTTGCTAGGTATTAATAGCTGTAATATTGCAAATCTTCGATCCATTTCAAGCTTATCGCAATATCATGTACGTGTATGTATGCAGGCAAAATTATATATTATATTTTATGAATTAATATCTATAATATACAATAAAAAAAATGGAATCGTTGATTTATTTTTATCAGATATTGGTATCGTTATACTTCCTTTAAAGTGTTTTCCAATTTTATTCTTAAGTTAAGAATGTCTCTATAAATCCAACAGATGACAATGCCTATAACATGTAAAAATCTACTAAATTGCTTTCTGCAAATTCGCGAAAATAAAGAAAACCTTGGAAAATAGAAACAAGTTTGAATTTCCTCCAACAAGTTACCGCGTACATAGCGCGTATTTTCTACCAAAATCACAGGGCCGAACGAATTGCCTACACTTCTTCCTACAGATTGCGTATTGACTATCGATTCTGCAATAGCATTATCGTGGAAAGTTGTGGCGCTTGTGAAACGGGATGCCCAACTCTTTTCGCGGCGGTGAAAGGATAAAAACCTGATCGAAACAAACCTCGCAAAAAATAAAACGACAAAATCTCCTCGCTCAAATCCACAGATCCGTCAGCGGATCGACTTTTCGTGCAACGACGACGAAGTGGCGCGCGTTCGTCTTAAACGGAATGAGATTAGGTGAAAGTCGGTTGGCCGTGCCGATCGGTAGGGCTTGCTTGCACCCAGGAATAGAATCGAGACAACGCTCGATGGTATTTTATGTAACTTGGCAGCCGTGCCACGCTCTTCGCCTTTTACCGAGACATGTATAAATTCTGGTCAAGGGGCTTCTGATAAGTAGAACGTGATCTTGTGAGAACGCATCAAGATCATCCTTCGTTACGATCGAAGGATACGAGGATTAATATCTCTGTCGCACCGGCGCTATTTAAACGCAAATATTTAAATATAACGTGCCAATATACACCGCTTGAATAGTGTGAATACATAGTCAAATGCGATTCAAAATTTTCAATTCCATTTCAACAGGAAATGATCAGTAAAAATGAATAAAGGCAACGCAACCTGATTAGATTATGTGCATACGTAATGCACTTAGCGCTATGTACGCAGTATCAACATGCAACGCAATGGAACATTCAGAATATTCATTTTTGTAAAGTTTCGATTGTGTTACAATTACGATTGTGTCGCAATTACGATTGTGTTACAATCGCCGACTATAATGTTGTAAAATTGAGAATAAGTGTCATCTATTTACACCATAAGGTCTACATCATTCAAAACTCAAAATAATAAGTTGACTTATAAGCCGAGAGGACTATTTGGCCTTTTAAAATTTCTGTAGAAAAAAAAATCGATTTTAAATTGACCGGAAAACCCATAAATGAGAAAAGGTGCAGCGAGAAACTTCGTATTCTCCCCAGACAATTGAGAATGCTGGTACGTGAAGTTATTCATTCACGAAGAGATACTTCAACCGCAATGTAAGATGAAAGCGATTGTTTACCTGAGCGCAGCGCTCAGAGCAACGCGAGCATTCACCGGTTAAGGGCTAACACGATTACGGTGAAGTGGATAATAGATTATCCACGGGCAGAACGGCGCGGCAGTGGACGCAGTCTTTCGAAATAACCAACGCGCGGAGGGATTTACCTCTGCGGTATACAAGATACGGTATACGTTATGCGGCATATACAGGGGATAGATACGCGATTTACAAGAAACACCGTCGCGCTCGTTACCGCCGGTTACGTTGTGGGAAGATACATTGCGTTACGTGAATAGGCGTTCACTCGTTCACGACGAGGCAGAGAGTGGTTTAGAAAGCGGACGGGACGACGGCGGGACATGCAAAAAGTTTACAGCCGCGGCGGCAATGACAGAACTCATTTTACAGTCTAGCGTTTAACCCGGCATTAAAGCCTCCTACCATTTCACTACAAATGTTCTGACTTATGACGTCAGAAGCGACAAATCGTGTCAATCTTTTTCTCGTATTTTGCGTAGAAATGGCTTAATTCGCATATTTTTCGATGACCATCCGATCTCAAGTTTTTGTACCTGGTTCTTAATCGAACAATTCCAAATCGAGAAACCAAATTTAATCGAGAATTCCACAATTATAAACCCAAAGATTAATTTAAATATTTATAGAAATATTTTATCAGCATTATTTTACCTAATTTCGTTGAATATACACGGCATAATAGGAACAATTAATTTTCAGCGAATAAAGCGTGCAAATATCTATACTAACATTGTCACTCGGCCAATGAAAGAAGTCTGAATGATCGTGTGATGCGTATGATTGTCACAATTTGCTTGGCAAGAAACTGCTAGTTTCCGAGATAAACATTAGCTCAAGGAGAGGAAACAAGGCGCTGAGCCATATGCGGCGAATTTGAAATTCCGCAATGCCACACGTGTAGCATTTAACGACATTGACGGTCAATAAAAATAACTATTCAAATTATTTTAATATTAAGCTACTCGTAGACTTTAATGATGATCGCTATCTCTATCATTTATCATTATCTTAATATCGTAACTCAAATATATTTAAAAACTATTTTGCAGCAAATAACTATTATTTCAAAGTTCTTTTCTGTAAACGGATAGGTAAGATAGGTGGTTTATTTAAAACCATAAAATCTACCTTTGTGTGTGTGTGTGACCTAGATTTCTTTGTAAAATATAATTAATTTAGATTTGTTTGTAAAATATGATTTCTCAATCCAATTCATTTTTAGAATTTTTAAAATTGTCAAATTTTTATCTACTTACAGCGCTATAGTTACGATTTATTGTTCATTGAAAAATAATTTAAATTGAATGATTATTATAAATTGTGTCAAGTTTGCATTTTTCATTTTCCAACGATACTCAATATTGAACAATGTGTTTTTAATATTTGTAAACACAATAGAGATATAATTTATTGCAAATACACGTTAGCGATATTATGGCGATAAGTATTCTACATCGCGTTACCAGAAATAGCAGCAGTCGTCTTTAACTCGTCCAGCGTATGGATTTATACTGACAAACCGAAACGATAGTCAATAGCATTGAGCTACATTATATGCAAGGTTAAAGTACCTATATATTATTCGTTTATCATAAAAAGTGAAATATGCAAAATATTGCCACGCGATATTTTTTTAAGTAGCAAATCGCTTTGTTTCCGTTCTCTACGCGATAATACGTATAAAAGAGAACCGATAAAAGAAAACCTCTTTCTAAGACGATAATTTTCCGACGATAAAATTCTCGATTTTTCACTGGAAACGATATAGCAATGAATTACGTTGAATTATGTAGAGAAGAAATACGCGACGCATCGCCGCCGACATAACCAAGAACGCGATGGTGCGCGCATTACGCATAGCCACACTGTCGATACCGTCGTCGCTCCGCGCGACTTGCGTAAATACACGCGCGTACACGATAAACAGGCAAGCGAAAGCGGTACCTTGAAATATCCGCCCTGGTAGAGTGTGTCGGGCGGACCGAAGATCGCGACTTCCCACTCAAACATGTTGTCCTCGTTGACGAGCTTGACGCGGAAGCCCTCGACTGGCTCCTCCTGCAGGCTCTTGTACTCCAGGGCGAGCGCCCGTAGCGCGCTGCTCGTCGGTTGTGCCATGTTCCACTGCGCTTCGTGGATTATTGCACACTATTGTGTCTACCCCTCCGAGCGGGCGAGAACGTCCCGATTCTGTCGCGTCAAGTAGCCACGAACCACCGCACGAACGCCTCTTACGTTGTACCTGACTGGTCTCGTAGGATCAATCGCGCAGAGCTAGTGTTTTTCCCTGCAAACTGTAGATTCTGTAACGCCACACCGTACGCGATTCACCTTTGTACGCAGAATAGTCAAATACACGCGTGTTCTTTTCGCGAACAAAGGAAACGCGTCCGTTATGTGCGACGACGCGAAAGTTGCGCGAGAGAGAAATGCCCCTCTAGTCAACAATGCAACACCATTCCCGACGACGATCAACGCACACGCACATCTCCTCCGCGAACCTAACAAAACAGCTGACGTACTCCTTGCGTCAGCGATCCTCTCGCGACGCATGCGTAACTCTTTCGGTTTTACCTAGAGTCACTCGATTTAAAAGCCAACTTTAATAAGACCGTCATCTGCTCTATTTCTAGGAAAACAATTTTTAACTCGGAACACGCATCATTTCTCGAGCAAAAAGTAAAGCGAACAAAAATATTGAAAAATTAAAGAGACAGAAAATACAAAACATAAACCAGTTTTTATCGATTAAAATGGAATATTTGCAAAATGTAAAATATATTTCAGGGTTGATGCATCAAGCATTAAAGCATTTTGCTCTGATTAGCTCTATTCGAACGCATTTCAAAATTTTAACCCGTCTTTCTCAATTATTTACTGATATATAATTTTATAATAATCTATTTAAAAAATACCTTAATTTTAGTCGATTAGAAATAGTGCAAACTGATTGAAAATGGCGAATCACGCGTATTGACGTCGAGTGACTCTACCGTCTATGAGACAGCAGCGCATATTCATTACTTGTATGCGGCTGTTGCAAGAACCTCTTCGACAATTTAGAACATTCAAGCCGAGAGCACAAGCTTTTACATAAAGCATAACGCATAAGCATAAGGAAATTGATTGGTCTATATAT